TTATATTGTAAAAAGGACAAAATAGAGTCAGCAGACCCTTATCATGTCAACATAGATTCCAATTTGAAACCCCTGATTAGCAAAGCTGTTGCTTTCATTAGGTGTTTTTTAATGATGAGCCTATATGCAGTGGTGCTTTACAAATTAAACAAAACTTAACACAAGATTGTCAGACCAAAGCATGCATACCCACATATGCTGACAAGGAAGCAATGCTCACTCTGGTCACCAGCCACATGCAATATGGACGTTAAAATAAAATACGTGTAGTGTGTTGTGTGTGTTTTGTGTGTCGTGTGTGTTTGCGAGTGTAGTGTGCGCAACACTAATTAATTAATGGACTTAATCATTTAAAAAAAAAAAAAAACAAAAAAACAAAAAGTTGTCCCAAGCACTGGACGTTAACATCTATTATCTTTGCCAACTTTTAGATGTCATACTTTGGTGGAGAAATCACACAGAAAATAAAGAACAAGTTTATTAATTAATGAATTATTATTATTATTATTATTTCTTTTTTTTTTTTGTAAAGACAGATAAGTAATTTTACTACTAATTTATATAACTGATATAATTTTTTATTTTTACTGCTAGAGGAGCTTACCTTAAATATTTTCCTAATTAAGGACTTTCACTTATGAATTTTACTAGATAATGATTATTATTAAATGCACGGAAAGCTATTAAATTCCATTTTCATTTTATGGAGCATTGGAATATATATGGATAATAAGAGCTGCAACAAAAAAATTCATTTAAAGCAATTTATAAGGGAAAATTGGAGCAATGGTTTTAAAAACTTTTCAAAGTGACAAGCATGACAATTAGACAGAGACACCACTACATAGTAAATTATAAGTGTGACAACTGACAAGTAAAAGTGAATGGAAGTTGAGCCCAAAAAAAAAAAAAAAGGTTGAGGGAACTAGTATTTAAGATTTGCTTGGTTACAATGTCTTCCATCTCCTCCCTAGTCATCATTTGAAACTTCAGATTGTTTTGGCGCATTCAATATCATGGCTGCTAATGCTACTGAAGTTGGAAGCCCCCTTGAGAGGAAGTGGAAAATTCCACTCTATGTTTTCTTCCATGATGCGAGGTACAGAATTGAGTCCACTCCTCATCTATGTATATCCATTATTCATGTACATTACTTATTCTTAAATTGATAGAAACATTTGTGCTTTTCTTTGGATTTAATGTTCATTTGCAGACTCCTTTTCAAAATGGATTCACTTGGTCTGGAGATACTCAAAATTGCCTTCCCCGCTGCCCTGGCTTTGGCTGCCGATCCCATTGCTTCATTGATTGACACCGCCTTCATTGGCCGTCTTGGTATGTTTATGTAATATATGCTTTCCCTTAATTTCCTACATAATATATATACTCTCCTTTGTCAATGCCTACATACATGATATTTCTATTATATGATATATTTTATATGCATGCACTATTCAGGACCTGTAGAGCTAGCTGCTGTGGGAGTTTCCATATCCATATTCAATCAGGCATCCAAGATCACTACTTTTCCGGTGCTAAACATTACCACCTCTTTTGTTGCTGAAGAAGATACCATTAATAGGCTTAATATTATGGAAGCAGAAAATGAAAAAAAAGAGTTGGTCCAGGATGATGCTACTGCTGATAACATGGAAAAAGGTATTGATAAGAATGAAGAAACAAAAGATCAGTTGAAGACAGAAGATGCTGCCAACTTGGGAAAAGGTGCCACTCCTACAAATGTTGACCCAAAAGAGACAGAAAAGGGTACATATCTCATAGCAATATCCGTACTTCACGTTAGAATTCTGAATCCAAAAGGGCAATGAATATGTTTTTTTATTATTTGTTTAATTTTTCTAAATAGATACAAACACAAATGCATGCAAGCCGTCCTCTGCATCTGGTGACAAAAGTACTGAACTGATTAAGAAAAAGAAGAAAAATATCCCTTGTGCATCAACAGCAATAATCATCGCCCTAGCTCTTGGTCTTTTGCAAGCTGCTCTTCTCATCTTTGCAGCAAAACCTATCCTAGGTATAATGGGAGTGAAGCATGTAAGTACTACCTGCATGCAGTTCTTTATTTTTATAGGACTATATTATATCATAAATGGTCCCTTTTTTTTTTTTTCAGTGGGGACCGCACAAGCTATTTGAAATTATAAAAAACCCTTCAATAAAACTCCCCATCATGTTTATTTATTAATGCTGTTTTGGTAATTTCGGGACATAAACTACACAAAAAAATAAAAAAAAGTGCAATCCATTCCCAAAAACATCAATCTCATATCATATACTATGGATCATTTATAAAAGGGAAGTCACCGAACCATGCTTTTGATTGAACAGAATTCTCCTATGTTGGCACCGGCACTAAAATACTTGACATTGAGATCATTAGGAGCTCCCGCAGTTCTTCTATCTTTGGCCATGCAAGGGGTCTTTCGGGGGTTTAAGGATACAAAGACACCTCTATATGCTACTGGTAAGAAATAAAATTCAATCCGTTAATGTTAATTTGGTTAGATAACCTGTTCTTCATTCTCCATATCCTAATTGATCTTGTATTTTCTCCATACAACTAATAGTCGTGGGGGATCTGATGAATATCATTTTGGATCCAATACTTATCTTTGCCCTTCATCTAGGAGTCAGTGGTGCTGCCATTGCGCATGCTGTGTCTCAGTAAGTTCGTCCTGGGTGGATATAGTAATAGTCCTCATATTATATATGATCTTCCTTAACAAATTAATGATTCTTTCAGGTACTTAATCTCATTGATCCTCCTTTGCCGATTGGTAAAGGAAGTTAATCTCTTACCTCCAAGGATGAAAGACTTGCAGTTTGGTCGGTTCCTTAAAAATGGTAAGAATTAACCCTTAGATATAACACATGGTACTACAACAGTAACATAATCAGATGATCAGCTATCACGGATTAATTGTGTATCAGTCAGTATATGAGTGCATTCAACATCTAAACCAAATGAACGGTCCTGTTTCTAATCCATATATAAATAGTAATCTTGATTTGATGGACACTACAGGTTTTATGTTATTGACAAGAGGAATAGCAGTGACATTCTGCGTGACATTGGCAGCATCACTGGCTACCCGGCTGGGTGCAACACCAATGGCAGCATTTCAGATATGCTTACAAGTCTGGCTTACCTCATCACTTCTTGCAGATGGATTAGCCGTTGCCGGCCAGGCGCTTCTTGCTTGTGCCTTTACTGAGAAGGATATGAACAAGGTGACAGCAACCGCAGCTCGAGTATCACAGGTAGAAAAAAAAAAAAAATCCCATGCTGATGAGAAGTAGCAATAGTCATTGAAACTAATAAATCAAAGTGCAGATGGCTTTTGTTCTGGGAATGGGGCTATCCCTGATTGTTGGACTTGGTCTATACTTTGGATCAGGGATCTTTTCCAGTGATCCTAAGGTTCTACAAATTATATGCATAGGAGTACCGGTAATGATCACTCTTCTATTCCAAGTTCTAACTCATTCTCCAATTAGTTAATTAGCTCAAACCTCAGTTTATCTTCAATTTATATCAACTTAAACTGAATCCAGTTTTTGTTTATTAACTTACCAGTTTGTAGCAGCTACTCAACCAATCAACTCAATAGCCTTTGTTTTTGATGGGATCAACTTCGGAGCATCTGATTTTGCATATACTGCTTACTCAATGGTAAATATATATAAAAAAAATGAAAAAGGTGTAATGTAGTTTTGTCTAGAGTTAATTACATTATTTTTAACTATTAATGGGGAACTGAACTTTTCATATTAGGAGCTTATAAAAAATATAGTGTATCATTATCAACCACTAATTTTTTTTTTCGTCTATATATTTATAATAATAATAATAAAACTTCAATTCTATACTTCCCATTCCATTTATCAAAATAAATGTTTCTACAGCTATTGGTGGCTGGAGTGAGCATTGCTTCCTTATTCATTTTCTCTAAAACCAATGGTTTCGTTGGAATCTGGATTGCGTTGACCATTTACATGACTCTGCGCATGTTTGCTGGTACATGGAGGTAAACTTTTTGTCTTATTTTTATTCATAAATTTTATATATATATATATATATATATCAGTGCTATTTCAGAACCCTGTAGGCTGAAATTGGATTGCTTTATGGCCAAATTACTTGTAGGATGGGGACTGGAACTGGACCTTGGAGCTACCTCAGGAAATGAAGCTTGACGCCTGTCCTTGTTTTTGAATATTTTTATGTTTATGGCACTATGTAGTATTGTTGTGGTTTGATTTTAGTTTGAAGTTGCATAGAAACCTTGGAGTTATCTCAATAAATAATGTATCTCCTTTGTTTTCTAATATTTTTATATTTAAGTTTTATTTAATATGGTTGCAATTCGATTTTCATTTTTATATATAAAAATTGTAATTTAAAAAAAATCATTTTTATGTATAATTTTTAATATATTATTATGATTATTAAAGAAATAAAAATAAAAATAATTTTTTTTTTATCTAAATGGGGTTTCCTTGTTTCAAACTTGGCATTTACATGGGCTGAGGTTATTGCCATGAGATTTTGTTAAAGTTATTAATTTAAATTATAATTTTATTAGTTTATATAGTTTTTTTAAAATAATTAATTATAATATTTAAAAATATCTGTTTGTTAATTAATTTTAATTTGTTAAATAATAAATATTAACTATTGTATAAGTTATTAAGTATTTTTTATAATCAAATTAAAATAAAATTTAATAACTTTACCAAAATTAATGATAGTTATAATCATACCTGTTTATATGGGGTACGGTGCAGATTTTTTAAGGGATCTATTGAATAGGTTTGATGGCATGGTTATTCGTAGTTAAGAGGAATTTTGTCAATGAATATATAATGGGTAAGGATACTTTGTACTAAATAATTTTAGAATTACGAAGTAGGGTTTTTTATCGTCAATTTTGATTTTTAAAAAGTAAAACCAGAAACCAACAGAAAAACAAAATTTGTAACTTTAACGGAAAAAAATAGGAAGATGTCAACTTGAAAAAAAGTAGAACTAAAAATAAACATTAATGGTAATACAATTCTAAAATTACTAAATATAATAATATTTCTATATGATTGTAATTATCTAACATTAAAATTGACCACAAATAGTTAGTTTTCCAAAAGGTAAAATGCTACAACTTAGTACTAGTATAAATTGTGAATTCACCACATAAGATTTAAGTTGAATTGATATTATTATTTATTAATTTAAAAATTTTGGGTTAGAATTAAGAGTTTCAAATACCTACTATACTAAATATGTAACCTTGCATTATAAATAAATAACTAAATAAACAAAACTAATATAATTATAATATCACGTGATATTATAAATTTATAATATGATATATTATTATATAATTAATTTTTTTTATTTAGGAATTTAATTATAATATTATGTAAATTCATTTATTTAAAAAATATGTCATACTCATTTAATATTATATCATGATTATAATTTTATAATTTTATATAATATTATAACTATAGTATTACTGATAAATAAATAAATTATAAATTGTGGGGGCAGAGAGGTAGGGTGCATAGTGGGGATGAGTAGCAGCATAACAGAGCCCATTAAGTCATGAGCTTCTCGCAGGTATGTAAGTTGTAAAAATTGACAGTTGACACACAACAGGAAGTAAGAGTCTCCCAACTCCAACCCAACAAAAGTTTTTTCTCCCCCCACTCTGCGCTATTTCACGTTAATCATGCTGCATGCCTTACATCCATCTTCTTCTTCCGTTTCTCCCCCAACAACTGCACTTTCCCCTCCTCTTCTCTCTCTCAACATTTATTTGTCCATATATATTTATTAAAATTGACTAATGATTATGTCTTAAATACCCAACACCAATAAAAAAAAAAAACTATTATATACTCAATCGACTTATGTATTTTGAAAGAGGGAATATTATTTTTTTTCTTTAATTCTCAAGGCATTGTTGAGTGATCCATTTTTATATATGTCGAAACTTTTTTTTTTTTTTTTGAATGATTTTGAACACGCACTAACTACATATTTGAATATCAAAACAATTGATCTAATAGCTCAACTAGTAATTAAGGTGCTTGTTTTCAGCTAGTGTTAGATTTGAATAACACAATTTGTGGACACAAAAATATAACACATGATAGAGTCCCTAATTTTGGTCAAAATCAAAAGATTGAATTTTTTAAATATTTAGTAAATAAAACTTAAATAATTTAGTGGTTTTTTCTTTTTTATAAAAATGAGATATTTTAAATTTGAATCGTATAGTATATAAATGAAGAAAATTAAGAAATAAAAAAATAATTACCTTTTATTGTATAATCTAAAATTAAAAAAAAAATAAAACTTTTCAAATATCTAATTAACTAACATATATTTGGTAACATTTTCGATATTACCCAAACATAGGAGAACATGACAGTGAATGAGAGATATAGAGAGAGGAATGGGGACTTGGGGTTTGATGGAGACTTGGGAGAGAATTGAAAGTCGGTAGATGTATTTACTTTTGCTGTGGAATATTGTCATCTTTCTGCGGTGGTATACATAACCCAAACAAAAGGTAATAAAGATGTAGAGAGCTTGCCTTTTTTTGCTTCAGCCTGAATGCACCAATTGCCAACATTAATTGCTCAAACTGTTCAATCGCAACCTACTTATATCAAATAGATATTATCAAGGTGGTACTTATCAATTATTAAATTATTTTTTAATTTAAGATTGATGTTAAAAAATTTTAACTAATACAATGTTAAACAACTAATTTTTTACATTATACAATGAAAAGATAGATTTATTTTCAAGCTCTAAAGAGAAACTTAATGGATGAAAATGAAGCTAAGAGGATGGTAATCCTATGAAAGAATGTTGAACATATTTTTTTTTTAGGTTTGTTTAAGTTGTATCTTATAAACATAGGTTAAAAATATATAAAATTATATATTTTTATCATTAATTTATATAAAAAATTATAAAAATAAGCTTTATTTTTATTATTTATACTATATGAAAATTTTTAATTAAATTATTGATAAAATTAAAGTTAATTTTTATTTTTTATATAAATTAATAATAAAAATATAATAACTGTAATTTTAAATTAAAAATTCTTTTTTTTTTTTATCTTTAATAGCGGAAATAGTGAATAAAGTTGGAGCATAAAGGCAATTGAGTTTTCCAAAAGAAAAAAGAAAAAAGAAAACGGCAATGGAGGAAAAACTAAAAGGCGAAGCCAGAAGCCTTTCCTTTTTTCCTCCTCTCACCAAATAGAATCTCAATGTAACCCTCAGGATCAATTAGCAGGGAGAATGGGCTCTCCCCCCAAGACCCTAAAAAGCTAAACACCACCATTTTTCATTTTTCTCGTCATTCAAGAAGAAAGAGAGTTTCAGTTTTATTTCACGATTTTATAATTAAAATTATATTAAATTGTAATGGTAAAATTAAAATTATTTAATGATAATATTTAAAA